AAAAAAAAAAAAAAAACAGTCCTAGTTGCCATGTGATTGGGTGGTCGCACGTGAAAGAGCTCAAATGTATTTATTTTGGGATAAACTTTTTTATTTATTATGTTTTACTATTGTTCGTTTTTTGAATACCCACACTTTACACGTGTGACAGCATGCGGGCAGCTGACCTCCCCTGTCAGGCACGTGATCTAGCATGTGAGAGGATTTTCCACGTTGGCTTTGACATTATGCAATGAAAAAAGCAAAGGTTGCTTGTACGTATATAACCTTTAATGGTAATGACCCATCATTTCTGCATTTTTGGGACAATGCAGGTCTTGCATCGCATTTCCTCTTCTTCTTCTCTTTCATTCCTTCTTGTTTCCCCTGCATTGTTTCGGCTTTCGTATGGTTTAGCAGTGATTAGTAAAATGGCTATGCTCATCTTGATGGAAAAATATATCAATTTACACATGCCCTTTGATGGACTAAAAAGAGGGGTTGCTTTGAACAATATTGTTAAGTTTTTAATGAGTCATATGAAGGACTTGAGAAATATATTACCATAATGTTGAACTTATTGACTAATTTTTCCTTTTTATTCATTATGTTTCAGTGGGAGAAGACAATTGATCAAAGTTACACGCAAAAGGAGATTGATGAAATGTGTGGTGAAGGAGCAGAATTTCTAGGGGGCTATACATAGGCCTTGGAAGTGAGTTTTATGGGTAACTTAGAAGAATTCTTTTGTATTTTGGTTAAATTGATGACAAAAATTTAAGCATCTGTTGAGCTTAAATTTTTTAGGGCTTTCAAAAGATATACACCTACAAATACCATTACAAAATATCACCACTTAGACGACGGTAACGAAATTATATTGTTGTCTAAATTGACAAGACAATGAGAGATCCGGTCTAAAAGAAAAGGCCTATTTGAGGGCTTTCAAAAGATTTTCGACAAAAAAAAGAACAAATAAATGATGGTGATCCACTATCGTATGAATTGATAAATAGACAACGGTGATCTTATAAAATCGTTGTCTAAGTGATTAACAAATAACGATAAATCACCGTCGTCGAAAGAATCACAATAAACAGCGATCACCTATATAGCATATTAGACGACACTGGTCCACAGCCTTTTTTTTCTAGCGAATAGCATAAATGATGGTGGTGGGGTATTAAATCAGATATGATGCACTGGCTAATGTATGATAATATAAGAATAGAGTAATAAACATGATGCATGGGGTGAAAATATCAAAAGATGCTTGAAGTATTGTCATATTAGTTTAGTAAATGCATTTGAAAGTTGTCAGATGGAAGCAGAAATAAAAGCCTCTCCGATCAAAGCTCCAGCTATTTTTCTCTTCTTTTCTTTGCAAGGGATTTGGATGAAGTAATATTCCAAAGTAGTGGATGCTCTCCTTTGATCACGAACAATAAATTGAGGCACGTAAGTTACTGTCCTTAAGAGTAGATCCGCCCCTTTGAGATAATATCTCGATATAGCAGGTTATGACGTCCTACCTTCCAAGATACAACAACTTTTGCTCATTTGTAAACGTACACTCACAATACTTAGATCGGATGAACACTTGAATCTTTTCCTTGGGAAGTAAAATAAAATGAACACAATACAAAACTGTATGAAAATTGTGAGGAAAGGAAATAATGTGGGAGGACTGAAATTGAGAGAAAAAATGCTCGAATTAAGATATCTATTCAGCCAAAATAGCCAAAGCTATATATAGAAGTTGCTGACCCCAAAGAGACGTTGGTCATTTTAGAAATTGAATATTGATACCAATAGACCAATTAAATATATATAAACACAAATGGTTATGTAATCAAGACCTTCAGCAAATCAAAGTGATCATATAAGCAAAAGCTTTTCCTGCAGGAATCAAATAAATTGAAGGCAAAGTGTACGTTAAAATCAAAGTTAGCCAACAGAATTTAATGCCCAGAATATATATACCTCAAACGCTTGTCAACTGCACAACACCTATGAAACACGTATGGCAAACTGCCACCTCTCTCTGCCTCCGTTGGGTCACAATTAGGTACAAATGAAATACATTAACTCTTCAGAAATTAATCTGCAAGTTTGATTCTCTGATATTTTAAATTCTCTCTTGTTGTTTCCCCCTCCCCACCCCAACCTCTCCGTCATTAAAAAGTTATGATGGTGATAAGGTAAAAAAATGAAAGGAAAAAAGTGTAAGAAAGTATACCTCCACAACTTGTGCTAAAAGATCTAATTGCGACTTTCGATTTGTCAAGCACTCAGAACTACAAGAGCCTAACATATCTACAAAAGCTTCAAGCTGGTAACAGTATAAAGAAGATGAGGCGGCATGCCAATTGGGACGGAAGTACGAATGCGAGTTTGTGCCATGTCACCTATGTCAAAAGTAGGCTTCTTCAGTTCAAAATAAGCAATAAGTATCAATCAAAACCTTTTCTTTTTGATAAGACACATGGTTTCATAAGAAGAAGAAAAAACATCACAAAACAGGGGACAAGTTATCTACTGGATAGGCTAGACTACTCAACACAACCTCAAAACAGTGCACCGGCTCGTTCTGCCTTTGGGCTGGCCCAGTTTGCTGAGACCCACGTGCTGCCCGGTCTGTAGAAGCTCGTTTGAATGTCAATCTGGTTTTAGTGAAAAAAAAAAAAAATTAGGAAACTAGCCAATCTGGTTTGAATCGATTTTGATTTGGTTTTCAGTTTTTTTTATTTTGAACCAGATTATTATTTTAGTTTTTCAAATTAATTTTTTATATTATAAATTCCAACTAAAATTTTAGTTTTTTGGGCTTGAAAATTAACAAATGATCCAATTTCATACAAATAGAGATATTAGGCCTAGAAAAGAGAGATGTTTTGAAGTTTGACTTGAGGAAATATTAGTTATGAGATTAAAAATGTAGCATTGGATTAAAATAAATATAATACACAACCGGTCCGGTTCGGTCCAGTTTAATTTGGTAAGGTGTGAAATCGAAACCGAAACCAGTCTGGTTCAGTTTGATATAAGTTTGTTGACTTTTTTAGTCAATCAATTTTTTTTCCTATATTTTCCATCCGGTCCGATTCGGTGTTCCCATTTTCCGATCCCCATGCCCACCCCTAATTTCCACCATTGTTCTATTTCTCACCCACCTTATCTTTAAAATTTTAAAAACAAATTTACCATTTTGTAAAATGACTTCTAAAAACTTAAGGAAAACAGTTATGGAGAATCTTTTCATAAACTACAACAAGGCAGAGAATAAAAACTAAAAGATCTAGAAAATCGAAATATTATATTAAAAAAATTTATGCAATCCGTCAAATACAACTTGATCTTCTCCATATATCAACTATTAATGATTAGCAAAGAGAATTTGCTGGAATTAATAATTAAAGGGTATTTTAGGAATAATGGTGGGTGGAAATATAAAATTGTATTTTTTTTTTCAATATTTCATGGTAGGTGGGAAAATAAAATGGATGAGGAAATAAGACAGGAGTGGAAATAGCAGCACTCTTAATTAAACAAGGGTGCAAGGTGGTAAAAAGTTGAATGAGATCCACTAGTATAGTGGTTTGGAGTAAATGCTCCACCAGGCAATATCCTAGGTTCGAGTCATAGCATCCATGTAATGTGTGTGAGTTTAGTATATTATCATCTCTCTCAATAAGAAAGGTCCTAAAAAATACAAAAAGTTGAATGAGACCAATGTGTTGATGTATTTATTTCCAATTCCTGAAAGGAATCAACTCGGAGGAGTAGTTGATCTAATTCCAATGGCTTAATTACCCAATCTAAATTCCTCAATTCATAACTTCATTCATTTGTAAGAAATAAACATTAACTACATGTCTTTAAACCAAGATTAGAAGAAATAGAAATTAAAAAAAAGAGATATTTAGTGATATACCCATTCTTAGCACTAATATTATAGATAAACCCTCCATCATTGAATTTCTATAAACAAACCAAAAAAAAACCCCAAAAATGACAGCTGGCCTTATTGAATTTAATATTGATTATTAAATTACTTTAATACCCTATTCAGTGTTTTGGGTATTTTTATGAGATTTTGGGGTTGGGCTTGTTTTAAGAAATTTATGGTAGTTTTGTAATTTATAAGAAGTTAAAGCCTCTTTGTTATGTTGTAAATGAGTTTTGGGTGTGTTTATAAAGTTCATTTCATATGGGGTATTTTTATAATTTGGGCCCCCATATTGGGTATATTAGTGAATCTCCCATAAAAAAAAAGGTTTTTTAGGTTTTAGACATAAAAAAATTTTACTTTTGGAAAAAGCCAAAGCTTTTTCAAAAAAGACAAAAAAACCGCTCAACTTTCAAATCAAAGACATGCAAATGTATTAGATTCCTTAGGAAATCTAAAAATAAATAAGGGCATTTTTGTCCATTTTTGCTTCTTTTAAAATTTTTCTCTCTCCTTTTGCTTTTTCCAAAATGTCCCTAAAAAAAACACTCATAAAAGAGGATTGTGCTCTTATTTTTATTTCATTTTTTATTCCCTATAGCCTCTCCGGGTCCCGGAAGGGGTGGATGGCCGTGGCTTGCCACCAACTGTCCCCCTTTTAAAAAAAAAAAAAAAAAAAAATTGAAAACAGTTACCAAATTGGGTTTCATTTGCCATTCCCGTGAAAAGTCATGGCGAGCATAAAGTTACATTTTTCTATGACCAATTTGCCTTGTTAACGCCAATTCTATCCAAATAAACATTAATTACGTTTTTTTTAAACAAACGATATTTTACTTTAAATTAATCTAAATTATAGGGAGGGAGATTCGAACTCAAGTGCATAGTGAGCATCACATCCTCTCTAGCAAACTTCGCTAAGCCCATATCTACTTCATTACATTTTCCTTGCATGCTTCTAATGTAAGGGTAGAATTGAAAAATTAAGCGTATTTTTGTTTTTAATTTCTGCATAAATCAAACATAGGAAAATAAACTAAAATGATATTTTCAAGTTAATTTAGCAGTATAAAAGATGGAAAAAGACTTCTAGTTTCCATTCCATCCCCTCATAAAAGACATTGGAATTGATTTCCCACAAATCCATTTTCTTTGAACCAAAGGGATCCACGTTCCCCCAATCCATAAAAGAACAAAAAAATGATATTTTTGCCACCAGAAAACAATATTTGACAGTAAAATTGTTCTATTTGAGACCCAGATTACGTTTAGATGACCTATTCGATTCTGACTTGGATCATGTTTAAATGACCTACTAGAGTTTATTTAAATGAAGCAAACAGTAGAGAATTGAATTGCAAGAAAGAAGAGAAAATGAAGTAAACAGAGAAAAAGGGAGAGAATCGACCTAATTGATAGGAACCCACTCCACTCGTTTATGCCTATTGATGGATTTCACCTTCTTCTTCTCCACCTTATAATTTCAGCTTATTAACATTTTCCAGATTATGAAAGGCAATTCAAACCCTAGAGCAAATTCTCCGAATGCATTTCCATGATGAAGAGGCTCACAATGCATGTAACATTTCCTGATGAGAACAGTAATTTGCAAATTAAATTGAGGTGCAGAGAATCCACAATCTGAATGACAAAATGTAGACTGATCAATAAATATTTATATGCAGAGATTATGCACCAGCATTTCGATAACAAATTAGGAGAATTTTCTATGAGAAAACAGAACTGTTTGGAAACCATAGTATCAGAAAACTGAAAGATGAATTCTGTAACGTGCATCATTAACCTCTCACCTTTCCATATTTGCTGTCATATTTTCTCAACCATTTATAAAGTAGCTTGTCTGCAGCAAAAGGTGTACTGTAGTAAGTTTGTTTATAACCAAATAATAGTTAATAGATTGAGGAATCAGACTAACAGATCAAACATGGATTGTACCCTCAATGCCCCACTGAGTCAAAGCAGCAATACCAGAAAACATACATTTCTAGTTCCCATTTTCAGGTGGTTAGCTTGATAATGCTTGTACAATAATATACCTCAATCCTCAGTGTCATATTTGTTTATACCAAAATGAACAGCCAATGAATATCGGACACGTAGACTAAACCAGGGCCATGGGTGCCTTCGGCACCCACCTTCGGTACCAAACCCACCGATCGCAACATTAGGGCAACCTCACCCCCTTTGACACGTGGCAGTCCTACAACTGATGTCCAGAGTCTAGCTTGATAATGCTTGTACAATAATATACCTCAATCCTCAGTGTCATATTTGTTTATACCAAAATGAACAGCCAATGAATATCGGACACGTAGACTAAACCAGGGCCATGGGTGCCTTCGGCACCCACCTTCGGTACCAAACCCACCGATCGCAACATTAGGGCAACCTCACCCCCTTTGACACGTGGCAGTCCTACAACTGATGTCCAGAGTCTCACATCGAAACTCTAAACAAATTGCACACCTCCCAAGGCCTATAAAAGAGGACCACCATCCCAGCTTGAAGGTAATCAATCAGAACTCACGGCATACTGCCTATTGATCTGTAGTTCAACTTTACTAAATCCACTTAAGCATCGGAGAGCCTTCGGCTGGTACCACATCGGTGCCCTAGGACTTACCGTGTGTTTGCTATCTTACAGATTGGACACACTGCCGAGGACATTAGATACCGAAGAGACATAATCACTAAGTTGCGCGGGAAAGTGCCGAACCATTTTTCTGCGTCAACAGTTTGGCGCCGTCTGTGGGAAACGATAACAATCAACCTACAATTCCTAAACAAAACAAATGGGAACCACTTCAGGACCACAGTTCCTATCAGAGGATGGATTACCGTACGGTATGCCAAGTGGAGCAAGCCCCGCGCTGCACCCTAGCACTCCCTTCGGTAATCCTCATGTGCTTCATACCACGGTCGAGGCGGAGCTTCTAGCTCAGATGACCTCCCTTCGGAGGGAGATGGCTAAACTCCAAGAACATAACAATCTCCTCTCGTCCAAAGTAGACGAAACCCAACGGTTGCTTAACCAGCAGGAAACACAGAACATTCAGACTACCGAATCCTCCCAGAGTTAGCAGACCCCCGTTCGGCAGAGAAAGGGAAAGCAGGGGGCAAAGGCAACGCCTGCGCCTTCCAAACAGTTGGTGGTCCCGGCTCCCCAGGACCAACCTCACGTACCGAAGAAGGTGTACATCGATTGTCGTCATCGGATCAACGATAAGAAGGATGCCGAACGGCATAGGTCCCCAATCGGAGTTAACGCCCGCCTGAGGGACTCCCGGATGAAGGTCCTGGGAGATAAATCGCCCCTTCGGAGGGTCCAGGGTTTGGATTCGGCGCTGGAATCCGATGATGAGTACGTCCCCACCCGATGAAGGTCCTGGGAGATAAATCGCCCCTTCGGAGGGTCCAAGGTTTGGATTCGGCGCTGGAATCAGATGATGAGTACGTCCCCACCAGGGGCACCGAATCAAGTTACCGTTCGGAAGCTCCCCCGGAGTACTTAAAGGCGAGACCACCAAGTCCGAGGAGAACTTCCGAGGACTTCAGTTCCGAGGACGTCCCAAGCCGAGACCCCGCTATCTGCCTGCTTCTCCAGAGAGTCCAGAAGATGGAGGATGACCGAACCCGGTCCCAGGTCCCTGACTGGGGAAAACTTCGGTCGGGACCCTTTACCGAGCGCATCAAGAAGTCCAGACCGGACAGGAAGGTGCAGCCGTTGCGCATACCCTTTTATACCGGTGTGGACCCTTTGACGCACCTTCACTCCTTCCAATCGGCAGTTGGGTGCAAGGGCCTCAGCGACGATGGGCAATGTCTGCTGTTTCCATCATCCCTTACCGGAGCTGCTCTGAACTGGTTCTACCGTCTCGAGCCAGGGACGGTAGACTCCTTTGACAAACTGAAGCAGATTTTCCTCAACCACTTCATGATCCAGACGGACCGCTTGTACTCAGTCGATGATCTGTACACGATTCGGCAGAGGGAGGACGAACCCTTACGAGAATACACAGCGCGCTTCAGTCACGAGTACTCGAGGTGTACCGAAACGGACGATAGAGCAGCCTACGGCGCCTTCAAGAGTGGCCTTCGGTCCTCTCACTTCCGGTATCTCGTGCACAGTAGCAACTGGCGCACGTACGACGAGTTGATGAAGCAGGCGGCAGTCCATGCGAAAGCTGAATACTTCAACTCCAAACCCGGGCCTTCGGCTCGGAAGGAGGAGTCAGCCACCAAAAGTTATCCGGGGCGAACTGACGATTCTTCGGTAGGACACAAACGGAAGGACGACCGCGATAGTCGTCACGGAAACTCGAAGAAGGGGCGCGGGAAATACGGTCGTAACGACCACCGAGCGCCGTTACCAAATCACGATCGTGGCCAGGAGGTCTTCACCCTACTGAACACAACGTACGAAACCGTTCTGATGAACGAACATGACCAGATCCCGAAGCCAACCAACCGAAAGCCCAATCGACAGGATAATCGAGACATTGGCAAATTTTGCCGATACCACCAGCAGAACAGCCACAACACCGAAGACTGCATCAGTTTGAGGAAAATTGTCGAGCGTCTGATTCGGGAGGGAAAGTTGGATCAGTACCTCGCCAGGCCACCACAGGCACCAGCACCGAACGTGAATCGGCAGATCAACATGATCAGCACAATCAGCGGTGGCCCCACTCTAGCGGGACCCTCTAACCGTTCGATGAAGCAGTATGTGCATGCCGCCCACTGCCCTCAGGTCTTCGGCATAGAAGACGATCGGTGCCGAAAGGTGCCGAAGGTGGGATGGGAGCCCATCACATTTTGTGAAGAGGAGGAGGGGATCATTTACCCCCACGATGACCCAATGATCATCCGGGCCGAGATCGCCGATTACGATGTGGGTCGAGTGCTGATCGACACAGGAAGCTCGGTGAACGTAATTTTTGTCGATGCGTTCAAGGGACTGGGGATTGCCGACAGCATGGTCAATCGGCAAATCACACCTCTCCTCAGTTTTTCTGGAGATCTGGTCCAGCCAGTCGGTAGTATTAGTCTGCCCATCGCCTTCGGCGTCGCCCCCAGGAAAACAATAACCTACGACCAATTCCTCATTGTCGATTGCACAACGTTATCATAGGACAAACGGCACTCACCAGGGTCAAAGCCCATTTATCCCCTCACATGTTGCTAATGAAGTTCCCAACACGCAACGGTACCGGCGTCATCCGGGGCGACCAGCTCAGCGCACGGACGTGCTATGCCACGGCCCTTAAGTCGGTAGCTAGCAAACCACCAATGGAAGCCATGACCGTGCAGGGACTGCCGAACGGTAGCGAGCCTATTGACGACCCTAGGAGGAAAACCCAACACCGGTGGCGCAGCCCGCCGAAGAGCTCGAGACCGTGGTCCTAAACAAAGATTTCCCAGATCGGTGGGTGAAGATCGGCACCAACCTAGATCCCGACCTCCGAAGACAGTTCATCGACTTCTTACGGCAGCAGGTGGAAGTCTTCGCCTGGTCTTATGACGATATGCCCGGCATATCACCTGATGTCATCAGCCACAAGCTCAGCCTCTCCATCGCCCACAAATCGGTCAGACAAAAGCGCCGATCGTAAGATGCCGAACGGTACGAGGCAATGCGTGCCGAAGTTGACAAGCTCAAAGCCATCGGCTTTATCAGGGAAGCTACGTACCCTGTTTGGCTTGCCAACTCAATCATGGTTCGGAAGGCCAGAGGAGGATGGCGGATGTGTCAGGATTATACCGACCTGAATAAGGCTTGTTCGAAGGACAGTTTCCCCTTGCCGAGAATCGACCAGCTCGTCGATGCCACCGCCGGACACAAGCTGTTCAGCTTCATGGACGCCTATTCAGGATACAACCAGATCTTTATGGACCCTGTCGATAGGGAGCATACGGCATTCATCACAGATCGCGGTTTGTACTGCTACAACGTCATGCCCTTCGGCCTGAAGAACGCGGGGGCAACTTATCAACGGCTCGTCAACCGGATTTTTGCCAAATACATCGGCGGCATCATGGAGGTGTATGTCGACGACATGTTGGTGAAAGGACTACCGAATGAGGCTGAACCCAGCGAAGTGCGCCTTCGGTGTATCCTCCGGTAATTTCTCGGATTCATGATAAGCCAAAGGGGCATCGAGGCTAATCTCGAGAAAATCAAAGCCATAATTGACATGGAGACGCCGAAGACACAGAAAGACATTCAGAGCCTTACCGGACGTATCGCTGCCCTGACACGCTTCATCTCCAAGGCTACCGACAAATGCGTACCGTTCTTCAAAGCTTTGAAAGGGGGCAAACATCATATCGCATGGACTCCCGAATGCGACCTCGCATTTCAAAACTTGAAGAACTACATGAGCCAAGCACCGCTATTATCAAAACTGCTCCCAGGAGAGGTACTACTCCTATACCTTTCGGTATCCAACACTGCCGTTAGCTCAGTGTTGATACGGAAGCCAGAGAAAGCGGAGCTACCGATTTTTTATGTCAGCAAGGCGCTCCAGAGCGCGGAGCTCCGGTACCCACCCTTAGAGCAGCTAGCACTAGCCCTGGTCGTCTCGGCGCTAAGACTTCGCCCTTACTTCCAGGCGCACGAAATCACAGTTCTGACAAACCAGCCTCTTCGGCAGGTACTCCAAAAGCCGGAAACGTCGGGCCGATTAGTCAAATGGGCAATCGAGTTGGGGGAGTTTGACATACAGTTCAAGCCGAGGCCTACGGAAAAAGGTCAGGCCGTTGCCGACTTCATCTCCGAGCTCACACCTCCTGCGCTATCGGAACCATCATCACCGAACGCCATCCTTACCGCACCGGAGAAAATGGATACCGAATGTTTCGACACTTCTGTTCCTCTCTGGATCCTGCATGTGGACGGCTTGGTGCTAACCACTCCGGACGGTAGCAAAGTCGAGTATGCCCTCTGATTCAACTTCTGGACCTCCAATAACGAGGCAGAATATGAGGCCCTCTTGGCCGGCCTTCGGCTAGCCAAGAGCATGAGTGCGAGGCAGATCAGCATTCACAGTGACTCCCAGCTCATAGTGAATCAGATAACGGCAGACTTCGCAGCGAAGGATGCCTCTATGTCAGCCTACCTATCGGCAGCTCACCAACTACTACAAAAATTTCAGGCCTACGAGATACAGCAGATCCCCAGGTCACAAAACAGCCACGCCGATGCGCTCTCACGATTAGCTTCGGCAATAAATGACAAGATCGGAAGGAAGGTACCGGTGGACATATTATCCCAACCAAGCACAACATCCGCTGAGGTGTGTACCGTTCAGTACGAGGACACATGGATGTCTCCAATCTATGCCTTCCTGACAACCGGAACCCTTCCTGCCGATAAGTCCCAAGCTCGGAAACTCCGTTACCGATCGGCAAGATACACAGTCATCAACGATGTTCTGTACAAGCGAGGCTACATGACGCCGTATCTAAAATGCCTTACCAAGGAGCAGAGGGGCTACATCCTTCAGGAGGTCCACAGCGGAATCTATGGTGACCACTCTGGGTCCCGATCGCTCGCACACAAAGTCTTCCGACAGGGGTATTTTTGGTCGACTCTGCACCAAGATGCGAACATATTGGTTAGGAAGTGTGACAAATGCCAGCGGTTCGGCAGTGTCCCTCATATTCCTGCCGAGCCGCTGTCACCGATCGTGAGCCCATGGCCATTCGCCCAATGGGGATTAGATTTAATTGGTCCAATGCTAGAAGGCAATGGTCAGGTCAAATATGTTGTTGTTGCAGTAGACTACTTCACCAAATGGGTAGAAGCCAAAGCCTTAGCGACGATAACGGCAGCCAGAATCGAAGATTTCGTCTGGACGAACATTTGTTGCCGATTCGGTATCCCCTACGCCATCGTCACGGATAACGGCAGGCAGTTTGATTCGGAAGTCTTTAGAGAATTTTGCACCCGACTCAAGATCAACCTGTTCTTTGCTTCGCCAGTTCACCCCCAATCGAACGGACAGGTCGAAGCAATGAATAAGATCGTCAAGAAGCTGTTGAAACGGCAGCTTGACAAAGCCAAAGGGGCCTGGCCGGAAAAGCTTCCAGAGGCGTTATGGGCCATCCGGACATCCTACCGAACGGCAACTGGGGAAACACCATTCTCCATGGCTTTCGGTTCGGAAGCGGTAGTCCCAGTAGAAATCGAAGAGCCTTCCTACCGAACGGAAACTTTCACACCGAAAGCGAATGAGGAAGCGCTCGCCTTGAGCCTCGACCTACTCGAAGAACGCCGAGCACAAGCCAACCTTCGGAACGAAGCTTACAAGCAACGCGTCTCTCGGTACTATGACTCCAGGGTCAGATCCCGCTCTTTCCGAATCGGGAAAGTCTCTTTGGCAACCAAGAATCCCACGGAAGGAACCCTCGGACCTTCCTGGGAGGGACCCTACGAAATCATCGATATTCAGCGATCGGGGACTTATCGACTCAGAGACTCCAACGGAAAGACCCTCGGTCATCCTTGGAATGTAGAGCATTTGAAGTACTATTTCAAATGAAGTCACCTAGCCTACGGCAGGGTTACAGAGGAGTCCCAAAAGCCTTCGGCTTCTCTACGAACACAGCCTTCGGTAGTGTAGCGTTCCCTAGCCAACGGCGGGTTCTAAATTCTAAAACGCACTACAAATTGTACCTTTGCCTTCGGCAGTTTATCAATGAAAGGGCCTTCGGCTCATATATTCAAAACCTTTGTTGTACCCTTTAAACTCTTTTCATTTTTTGTTCAAAAAAAAAAAAAGAAAAAGATACGTTAGGGACCATCGGTGGCAGTAAACTACGCATTTTGGCATCGCCATTATCCTACCGATTGAAGGACAACTTGAACAACCTTTATTAGCCTTTATAAGCTTTCGGTAATTACAGGTCGTTGCTTAGCCGTCGGCAAGTACGTCTGTTGGTCTCAATTCCCTATCGTTTGAACTTTTGCTTGAAATGTAACTTTATTGGCCAACGGCTAGTGACTCTTTTTGAGAGCCCTCGGCATTAAACAGAAAAATTTCCTAAGTATCTTACCGATTCAGAGGTAAGATGCAATCAAATTAAAATCAAAACACAACTTCGATTAAAATATGCCCACGGCATCAAATATCCAATCAAAAGATGCCCACGACATCAAGGTTACAACAAAATTACATGAAAAAATGCCCTCGGCATCAAGTTACGTAAGATAAAAACAGGAAATGAGAAGAAGCTTTTGGAGAAGATTGACGCTTTGCCGTTCGAAATAGGACTATACCTTTGAGTATCATTGCAGAGCGTACAAAACTTTCTGTCGAGGATGGAGGGCCTTCAAGTAGCCTCCTCGGCATCCGCCTCTTCGGCACCAGTGGCGTCAGGCTCTCCCGAGGCATCCTCCCCTTCATACTCCTCTATCATTTCTTCTGTGACGCCTTCGGGAAGGGAAGGAGGATCGGCAATGAAGTTCAAGTTAAGCTTCGTCCTAGGATTGTACCGCTTGAAACGGTAGATGAGATCCACCACCTCCGAGCCCACCTCCTTGTCAAGCAAGGTAGAGAAATCGGGAGAGTAGCGGTACTTCCGAATAGCCTCCTGGACGGCAGCCTCAATCTCCGAAGCTTTGGCCCGCTCCGACTCCTCCAAAGCCACCTCGACGGCCTCTTTTGCCGATAGCCGTGCCGACTCCAGGGCTGACGACAGATCTGCGAACTTCGACTCATAAACCCTGACCTGCCGTTCGACAGCCTGCAAATCCTTCTCCAGGTTCGCGTGATCCTGGATAGCCTTGCCAGCCTCGGCAACCTTGGCCCTACCGTCCTCATAGGCCTTCTTCGCCTTCTCAGCAGCATTAATGGCTCGCTTCATGCAAAGTCACATGTCCATCGAAGCCTGGAGAACAAAGGGAATGTCAGGTAAAATATAAAGAAAGCGGTCGGTAAGCTGAACCGGGAATACTTGGGACTTACTGATGCCTAAAGGCGGAAAGCGCGACCCGCCTCCTCCCGAAGGAGCTTCTTCGGCAGCTCCTCGATCTTGTCCAGCTCCATTTGCGAACCAATGATCATATGGTTCCCGGACTGGGCACCCCCCCGCGCG